CTTGTTCCTATGGAGGAGTTGGGTAGAAGATATGGTGAGAAGCATGAGGAGGTGGAGCATGAACAAAGGGGTGCTAAATTTGAGAGGAGGGGCGGAATTTGAAAAAAAAGGGGTAATTATGACCGAAGGAGGGATGGAATTGAAAGGAGAGGGATTTATTATGATCCAAGGGTACTAAATTTGAAAGGAGACTGAGAATTTGATGAAAGGTTTGAGTATGAGCGTAGAAGGGATGATTGGGACACTTGGGGGAACCACCACTTGGGGAATAGGAAATTATGGAAGGAACATGGAGAACAAAGGTGATCCAAGAGTGAGGAAACTAATGATGCCAATCTTTGAGGGGGAGGATGCACATGAACTAATCTATAAGGTAGAAAGATATTTTATCGTTAATGGGTTGACAGAGAAGGAGAGACTGATGGCAAAGGGCCTATGTTTGAAAGGGAAGGCTTCGTCTTGGTACTAGTGGAGAGACATGCGACGACCCATACGGAGCTGAAGAGAGTTCAAATATTGTTTAGTAGAATGTTTCCAAACTGACAGAGGAAGAGACTTCTACAAGTAGTTCTTCGCCTTAACACAAGAGGGTTCAATGACGGAGTACCAGGAAAGATTTGAGTACCTTGTTAGCCGATTGAACCACCTTCCTGAGACAGTGCTAGAGAGAAATTTCATGAAGGGACTGACACCAATGATCCGTGCAGTGGTTAGAGAAATGAGGCCTCGTGACTTGGGAGATGCTATGGAGCTAGCTCAATTGGTGGAGGATTAAAGGCACCTGGAGAGAGATGGAAGGTAGCAGCTCAGGAGGTCCGAACATGAGAACCAACACCTTTTTGGCATCCAAGGAGCCGACACTGGGTACTCTTCAGGAGACTTCGCAAGAGAAGACTGTGGTAGTAAGACCTGGGGACAACTTCAAGAAGCTCACATAAACGGAATTATAAGAGAAAAGGGCAAAGGAGCTCTAATTCAAATGTGATGAGAGGAATACGCTATGGCACATGTGTAAGGACCGAACTCTTCAAGTTCTTATCGTTTGTGATGAAGAGGGAATGGAGTAGGGTGTTGTCTTTCCACCTTGCGGACAATGAGGGTCTTTGGGAGGGGAGTATTGTTAGATCGGTCCAGCCGGTCCACATTGGACCGGCTCAGGCAGAAGAGTTCCGCCTCTCTTGTACACGCAGATCGAATCGCAGGAGCCAATGGAGCCGTTTAGGAAGGATTTTTTTTAGAGTTAGGAGGGAAATTTGAATGTAAGGTTTGTTTAAAGATTTCCTTTTTTATTGTATGCATTAAATAGTTTGTTTTTCTAGGGTTAGGGCATCTTGAATTTGACTGAAATTTGAGATCTATCAGGTTTTTTGGGCTCTAGCAGCATCTAGAGATTTGGGAGAGATAGATCCTCCCCTCGAATAGAGGATCAATTGTATCTTGTTACTTTCATTCTATTAGTTTGATTATTCTAATAAAAACTACTATTTTCTAGTTTTTCCTTTGGATTGGTTGATCATTCGCGCTGTTTTTGTCAAGATCGTTAATTTTCACTTAAGATCTTCAAGTGTTTCCTAACAGAAATCTAATAGTTATGTTAGAAAATTCAAACTCTCCTTTGAAATTTAAATGCCAAAGGGGTCACTTTGCTAATAAGAAGAGTCATAAGTCTCGCATTTGAAGTCCAATCCTCCAACTTGCAAGAACTAGAGTTGATGAAACTTGAAACTAATGAGAAATGTTCGAACAATAAGTTTTAAATGATGCACCATAAATCATATCTTCATGAATGAACATATAACTACAAAATCTAAAATGATATTTTATTTTACATTCTCATTAGTCTTCCATACATTGTAAAAAGAAAAATTATTACAAAATACAAACTCCCTAGTTCATCGCCCATATGATAACTAGCAAAATACTTGAGAACAATCCACTGTAACAAACAGATAGAGTTAAGAAGGTTCAAATACAAAATAAATATTCAAATATCTTAATAATGGCCACATTTACAAAAAATATAAATCGAAGGAAAACCTAATCTCAAAATTCCCTCAAATTTCAAAGTTAATCATTTGGGACTTAAACTATAATGAAATTCAAAATTTCAATATTTGTTCAAATCTAAAACATTTCGAAGTGAAATATCCATTTGTAAACTAAAAGCAAAATGAATCGACCATTGCTGAACAAATAAATTTGATAATTACCTCAATTCACAAATAGTCATATTTTGTCAAGTCTATTGTTACTGCTCATTCTTCTCACTTGTAAGGATGTGAAATGTGCCATCTACTCAGAGGTTTTACCACTAAATGGCATTACAAATAAATAGTAATGATGGAGACATGCTAACCAAGTGATTTTATTGCAAAATGACATTATTAAATAATGGTTATGGTCAAAACCCGCAAGTTCTCCAATTGCTACAAAACCTTGAGTAATGAATCACATGGTGCACTTAATAAACAACAATGCCCTCTATTAGCTAAGATTGACTTGAATATATTCCTTTACACGAACATCCACCCCAAGTTTACAAAGTTATCTTTAACGAAGCAACTGCCAACAAGTTTGTCTCAATTAGATTGGATTGAATACATCCTCAAACTAAGTGGACCAAAGATCATAACAACCTTGAATGATGTAACCATGAGATTTTGTTCAGCCTCTTCATCATCCCCCCCAAACCCCCACCATCCACTTTAAAAGCACATGCCTAATTGTTGCTACTATACACTAATCATTTAATATCTATCCAACAACTTGCCTTAATTGAAAATTTTCTCTCATCGCCAAGAGGGATAATTAATCATAGGGTCTTGCGCCTAAAGAAAACCTAGCATCATATCATAAATTTCTTGCAAGATAAGAGTGAAATCTCTGGATATCTTATACGCATTCTAAAAAATTGACCTGAAACTACAAATTTTCTATGCCTACAAGAAGACAATAAAGGTTATCCATAAGGCACAAGCAATGGTGCAAAGAATCATAGCGACCTAAGAAAGAGTAATAATTTTTCAGCTAATTGATTTACGTAAACCTAATTAATGAGTGATGGAGACTACCTAGGCAGTAGTGCACTAAACAATAAGAGGATCTATCTAAACTGGAAACAACAGTTATGTCGACTTTGTTGATTCAAAAGGATCTCAAATCCATCATGGAGTGTCAGAACGCAAAGCAATATTTATGTAAGCTATCTTCTACTTATATATTTGCATCTATTTATATTGTCTATAATCTAACTGTAAACACATGGAACAATACATTTATTTTGATTAGTGTATAGATTGCGGCGTGATACTAACATTTCTCAAAATCAATTTAGATTCATGCCAAGAAGGTCGACTATGGAAGATATACATTTATTGAGAGGTTTGATGGAGAAGTATAAAGAGAAAACTTAGGATCTACATATGATATTTATTGATTTAGAGAAATCATATGATAAAGTTCCAAGAGAAGTGCTATGGAGAGTTTTAGAAAAGAAAGAGATTTATAATGCTTATATTTAAGTCATTAAGGATATGTATGCAGAAGTTGTTACTTGTGTTAAGACACAAGTAACAACTGACCAATTATTTTCCTATTTCAGTTGGATTACATCAAGGATCAACCTTAAGCCCATATCTTTTTGCTTTAGTCATGGATGTTCTCACTAGACATTTGCAAGAGGTTTTACCCTGGTGTATGCTTTTTGCTAATGATATTCTTCTTGTTGATAAGATTAGTGTTGGAGTTGAAGATAAACTTGAATTAAGGAGGTCAACCTTAGAGTCTATAGGCTTTCATTTGAGTAGATCAAAAACTAAATCTATGGAGTGTAATTTTAGTAATAATAGTTCTAGTGGGGGAAATGTAACTTTGGGTGATCAAGTCATTAATAAGAGTACATATTTTAGATATCTTGGATCTATTGTTCAGAGTGATGGTGAAATAGATGGGGATATTATTAGTAGAATTCAAGTTGGACGGTTGAAGTGGAGGAATGCATCGGGCTTGTTGTGTGATAGAAAAGTCCCCCTCAAACTCAAGAGAAAATTCTATAAGATGGTGGTTAGAACTGCAATGCTTTATGGTGCATAATGTTGGCCATTAAAAGAGAAGCATAATATTAAGTTAAGTGTTGCAGAGATGAAGATGCTCAAGTGGATGAGTAGGTTTAATCTTTGAGACAGGATACGAAATGAGCTTATATGTGAAAAGGTTGGAGTAGCTCCAATTGAAGATAAGATTAGAGAGAGTCGCCTTAGATGGTTTGGTCACATAAAACGGCGGCCTTCCGATGACCAGGTTAGGAAAGTAGATGTATTAGATTTGACTTATGTTAAGAAAGGTAGAGGTAGACCTAAAAAGACTTGGTTAGAAAATATTAAAAACTACCTTTCTTTATTAGATTTAAATGAGAATTTAACTTTTATCAAGGCACAATAGAGAAAAAGGATTCATATAGCCAGCCCCATAAGATGCTAAAGATTTGATGTTGTTATTGTTGTAGTAGTTGTTGTAGTGTTTAGATATATTAATATATTCCTATTTGTATAGATACATTTATTTACAATAAGCAGTAATACTGTAACAGGTTGGGCTCCCATGTGCTGCCAGCAGGCTAAGCTGGGCTATCCAAATTTGGAGGGTTGGACAATTTTCTTTTAATAGTCAGGCCTAAATTGAACCACAAGCAGTCCCTTCTAACCTATCAATAAGACAGAAAATAAGCTCCAGTATACTTTCTTAGGATAGCTGTCAAAATTTTATGCAGGCATGTAATATTTGTATCTGTTTATGCACGTCCATGTCTATTAAATGTCTTTCCTTTGCATTTCAGTTAATATATACATTTCTGGACCCTTGTGTAAAAAAGAGGGAAAAAAGACTACTAAACTTAGTAAAGTTGACTGTATGTCCAAGAAACTACAGCACCTGATTTACCAATTCTGTAAATATTATTAAAAAATTAAATTTAAATTAAATATCGTGATAACAAATATCACCTCATGTCCTGCCTGATTGTGGTAACCAGCAATTCGCCATTGTGCAATACTAGTTCCATGAAAAACTACAACAGTGAAATATGCATCCAAAAGTAAAATCCTGTCAGCAGCAATGGCAGCTACATCCAACAGAACTGGTTCAGGAGCAGAATGAAAGGAGTAGGATATCAATGAGGGTTGAATCATTACAACAGAGTTGGATACACTCTCTCTATTCAGTATCATTCTATAATAAGCAGTTTCATCTGGACTGTTATTGAAAACCTGCAAGAATATTTAGGAACTTTCAGAAAAAATGCTGACTAGAGTATAATTTCAATTGTGGAATTTCCTTAAAACTGTAACTAGACTAAAATCAGTAACTCTGCAAGAATAAATAGCATACCTGGACAAACTGAGACCTTCTCAAATTAAACATAAATTGAGGGAATATTGAGAAGCGTGGCGATAAGCTGAAAGAAGATGGGCTATCTTTTTGATATTCTCCAAATTTGGAACACAGGCCAATCAAGGACCTATCTAGCCATCTAATAGGATCAAAATCAGCCTGCAATAACAAGTTTCATCTTTGATTCCATTCCCGAAGAGGATAATTAAGAAAATAAATGATATATATATATATATATATATATATATATAGCCAGCAGATACCATACCTCTAGAACAGACCACTCAATTAGGTTATTATAATCACTTGGTATCATTCATATTCTGGTCTTTTCGCAAAACAAGAAGTAAAGAAAGGGGTTTTCACATTGATTGTTTGCAGGAATAACACAAAATTTCCAGTAAAGCACAACCATGTATGTTTCTTTCCGCTCAAATATAACAATAGATCCATGAATGTTTGAATATCCTTTTCAAGCAAAAGTTTGAATATTTCTTAAAGAGAATGATGGTTTGGTTTTTTATGGATCTGGATGGCGGTATGTGTTGTGTTAATGATGTTATGTGGAAGTAGGTAAAGATATGCTTTCTAGGCTTGGCCGAAAGCCACAAGTGGACGGGAGAGCGATTTTTAATAGTAACAAAAAGAGCAAAACTATGATTACTTGAAATCTTCACCAAAGAACCTCAAGGATCCACAAAAATGGACTGAATATTTCAACAAAGATCTTCAATTGAAATAGAAAGCTACTAAGCCAACGTCACAAACCACTTGAAACAAGCACAAAATAGTATTACTTAATGATCATGGTTCCATAGCACCAGTATTTATAAAGCATTATATACCATAACCTAAACTATTAGAGAACGTGGTCAGCCTATGCATAAAAGAAATTTTTTCAGTACTACAAAATACAATATTTACTTTTCTCCAGAAGAGTGGACAGTCATGACCTATTTGGAAAGAAGGTGCTCAAAATAAAGAATATAATGCATCAGAATACATGTTTGGCCACGCGCATTTGGAAGGTCATAGGGAATTGAAAATTAAGCACATGGTCATGGATTAAAGGGAGGGATGGCTTTGGTTGATTAGAATTTGAACAGAGATTGTCTTGATTAATCTTGATCGTCACATACTTGTCGAGTGAGGGAAGCGGTCGATCATGCAATTAAGGGATGAAACTCAACCTCCATTGTGTCCACATGCTTAAATTTTATGCAATTGATCATCATCCAAATTTCATATTGGATTCCTACATTGAAACTTCTATGCCGCATCTTCAAGAACTGTGCATCACAGAGTTAAAATCATTATAGTCTTCACAAGAATTGGTGTTAGCTTACCTGAATCAACAATGAACAAAGAAATTGCTGATGGAGTAGGCCTTATCTACATTGAATGAACCTAGACTCCTACATGGGGGTAGCTTAAACATATTTGCTACTGTTTAGCATTATTAATGGAGCGGAAAAAGCATAAAGACCCAGATAAACATGTATAGATTTTGGAGATTCACATGATTTTTTTTTTTTTTAGTAGGAAATTATAAGTGTTGGGGGGAGGGGCAAACGTAATGGAGGTGGAGAACTATTTTAGGGAAGCGAAGTCATGCTATTAATTTTTTAGTGGGTATAAGAGTAGGTCGTGGGTATAAGAGTAGCTCCATCACATAATGATAGCATAGGTTAGCCACCAAGCCTTCCACATAAGAAAAAACTTTCTGCACAAGAGGAAATCTTCTCTAAATTTTTATCATAAAATAAAGAACCTTTTGCAATTCATTCCATATATTTATATCAGCCAAACAACATGATTTAATTTAAATTCCACGAAGAGAGTGGATGTGGATAGTTTGGTGGAGTTGAGGGAAAGGTTGTCATCTTCACTTCAGGGAGGGAAAGATATGGACAAGCTTTGCACTTGAAGGGAGAGTTGCTTCAACCACACAAACCATATCCAACTACTAATTTAAATTTTAATAAAAAATTTCTTAATAAAGATAGCAATCTTTTAAAAGGAAAACTTGTCCGTGCATTTATAATTCATCTTTAACAGTTTTTTATTCTAGAATTTCTTGATGGTGGTGATGTAAATTATTGATTGAGATGAACATATAATTAATCACTGAAGATAGACATTAGCGGCCATGGTATTATGCGAATAATTTCATAAAACATCACTTTTCAAACACCTAAATAAAAAAAAAATTGCATTGTCATGTCTTGTTCTTTATGTCATTGAAAGATGTTAGCATGGATTTCATGGAACTATCACGCCCTTTTGAGGAAACACATTTCTATTTTTATCATAGTGCAATGATCTTCTAAAACAGTGCATTTTATTTAATGTAATAAAGTTATTGATGCATCAATAGAACCAAATTATATTTTAATGAAATTGTTAAATTTTATGATTTACCCAAAGCCATTGTGTTTGTAAATTTTTATTAGTTTCTACAAAACTCCACACACACAAAAAAAAAGATGAAAACTTAATTAAAATTTCCAATTACTTATCACCCACATACTAGTGTACAAACTAAAGCAACTTATAGAAGTTTCTGGCCTATTACCAAGTCGAATAAGTGATCATACATCTAGTTAGGATTTGATATAGCTTGTAATAAGTCCATTTGGGATTGTAGTAGAATTGCGTGCGGTTAGTTTGCCAATAGATATAGTTTGTCAATAGATATATAAGATGAGATCCATTTGAAATAGTAATAGAATTTCAACCAAGAAAACCAATGGATCATATTGAACTTCCTATTGAATCTAAACCTAATAAATTTGTACAACAATGCATCACTAATACAACAATACTTACAAGAAATTGGTTGCTAACATTGCAACTATAAGTTACCTCATAAGTCAACAGTAGATGCATGAAATTCAAACAAATTGTTAAGATTATGAAAAAAGAATCCTTTGAAATTTGGGAACATGGGCACCTTTCAAAATAAAGGAAATTCAAAGAAGGTTATATGTTATAACATCACCTCTTTAGACTACTTATGGATCTATACTTTCAAGGAGGAAAAAACAAAAATTATCAGAAGATAAGATCAAAAACCAAGGCATTATGGATAACACAAAAAAATCTTTTTATCAAATTTGATTATATTCTTTCTTCTTCTCTATTTTTTATCAACGTATTGTGTATTTTTTATAATTTGTAATATGCTCCTCAACCTTTTTCTCTTTAACTTTCTTAAAGGGACAGGCTTATACTCTATTTTTTCATAAGAAAAGAGAGAATATAATGATTCGCCTAAACCCTAAAAGATTTCCTAAGAGAATCTTAAGAAATTAAATAGTAGAAAAAATGATATATTATAAAGCAATACAATGATATTGGATACATGTTTAAGAAATTGATAGCCCAAGAAAATTCAGGTATTAGTCTAATTTGTATTGTATTTAATTTAGCTTTATATCAAGAAACATAAACAAATAGTTTGAACTTTTCTCCCTTTCCCAACTCCCCCTGTAAGATTCACATCCAATACTTTTCAAACAATCACATAAATCAGGTGTTAGAAATTATATTAAATGATGACATTGTATTCGCTATTGAACATGGACACCATATACAACTTATGCACCGACACAACAAATCCACATACATTACTAATAGTGATGGGGACATCAAATCGTGGAGAGTCTATCAGAGACGTGGCCGTCGATTTACGGCCACGATTTAGTCATTGTATTTCTGAGTTGTTTTATGTATTTTCTTATTTATGATGTCATATTGTATTTGCTTTATTAGTTTGTTTTATTAGTTTCTCGTTGTACCCTTTTATTAAGGGAGGTTGTATGTAAGCCCTATAGGCATTGTCGTCCTTTTATTTGTGTGAGTCTTTGTACGAGGCTATTTATAGCCCTAATGTTCTTCTTTTGAAGTTAATGAATGATTAAGAAAATTTTCCCATTGCTTGAGTTCTCGTGAGAATATTGAGAGTGTTTGAGAGAAGGATCCCTAGGAGAGGGAGTACCATGCATCACCCACCAACCTTGACGAGTCGGGTTCGTGGCTTTATTTTCTATCTATTTTTCTTTTCCCCTCCACCACCGCCGGCCCCATCTTCCCCTCCTCCTCTCTCGGCCCAAGCTCCACCCATTCCCTCAAACCGCCGGCCGCCATATACCCCCACCCTCACCATCTTCCCTATCTTCACATCATCCCACTACAAAACCCCACCCAACCTAAGGTCTAGCCGTCGGATCCCTTACCCAAGCCCCATCTAGCCACCAGCCCTAGCACCTCCCCTCTCAATTTCTATTTCCTATTCTAGATTAATATTTAGGATTGATTTTGAATTCAAATTCACCTAATTTGAATTTCAAATCTTTCCTAAAATCCTTGAATCTATTTAAGGAAAGTTTCCAAATTAGACCCTATTTGAATTTCAAATTAAAGGGGATCCAATTAAATCTTTCCTAATCCCTAAATCTAAAATTAGAAACTCAAATCTCTTCCCCACAATTCCCTCCCCATCCCATTATTAAAGCCGCCGTCCTCTCTCTCACTCTCTCTAATCCCCTCTCCCTACATTAACACCTCTTTCCCCTCTAGGAATTAAATTCAAACTTGATTCCTAATTCCCTCCCAATTAGAAATCTGAAATTTATTTCAAGTTTTTAATTAGTTCTTTCCCTCGTAACCTACTTCTCCTCTCCCAAACCCTTCCTCCCTTGGCCGGCCACACCATCTTCATCTCCACCTCAAGTTCAAGAGACATTGCTTGCGTTCTAACGAAGTTTCATAGGGTGCTAGTGATCTTCGGAGACGACTGTCATCTAGCATTCATGAATAGCCGATCCAGATCTTGACTACAGCCTCGCCTACAATGAGCAAGGATTTGTTTGCATCATGCACTCGACCTTTTTCAACGTCAACCCACGCATCTACCACACCGTAGAAGAGTACGTAGAGCACATCTTGGACACCTTGGTTGAGGCTATTGAAGAGCAACTTGGTACCGTACAGTGGAGGATTACATCCGAGCCTTGACGAAGGTCTTCCAATCTTCCTCCTGTATTTAGTCTAACCCTCTTTTTTGTGATTTGATTTTAATCATGAAGATTGTGTTCGTCTAACTCTGCCAAGCGTAGTAAACATAGGGATTGAGTGCACTTCATTTGTTTCTAATCTTATTGTTAGATTAGAGATTTTCATTAAAAGCTATTATATTTGCATGTTGTTGATTTCCTATGTTATTTTGAAGATTCAAAGCTCTTATTGTGCAACTTCCTAAACGGAAGTGACCGCTCTTACGTTTTATTTTGTCGTTTTATTTGCTAATAGTTCTAATCATTATTATTATAATAAATAAGTCGTGCAAGTTCTTATCAAGTTATTTTGTGCATTATAGTCCTACATCAATAAATTCCTAGAAAATATTAAACATGCGTGACAATATTGATAAGGTAATATAATAATTCTAATAACTCTCACTTTCGAATTCAAGTCCCCTCTATAAACCCTAGGATGGATCATGATCCATCACTGATGCATGCAAAAGGGGGGAGGGGGGAGGGGGGGTGTCAAAACAAAATGAATATTTTGCTTTTCCTTAGGCTGCTGGTGCTCTCGGTTTGGGCCTTGTTTGCTTTGATTTGGAGCTAATTTTTGGAATCTACTTGGTTCTAGCTCATAAATGCTTAAGTTGTGACTTTAGCTCATTAATTCAAAAAGGTTTCTCTACTAATTTTAGCTCATTATGTGTGGTAAAGTTTGGCTTTTCCCCTTCCCCATGCTACCTTCTCGGTTTCCTCCTTGCCCCCTCAGTTTCTCTTGGGCTTTTGCTGTTCCCGTGCATTGGCCCTTTGTTTCCTGAGCATTGGCCCTTTGTTTCCTGTGATGGCTGGTTTTCCTGTGGCTGCCTGCTTGGTTCCCACGGCCTTCTTTTCTCTGTTTCTTGTACCGATTTGGGGCTGCTGTTTGGCTGTTAGCCTTTCATTTCCCTAAATCTAATAGGTTTAATTAATGCTTTTAGGGGATGTTTAGTTGCCTTCTTTTGCCTATAAAATGGAGATGTTTTGGCATGGAATAAGTAAGTGATATAATGTGATTTTTGGGACAAAAACCTGAGAGGTTTTTCTTCTTTCTTGGAAAAGCTTGCGAGCTTGTTCCATTCCTCCTTTCTCCTAGGAAAGCTTGCGAGCATGTCCTCCTATCTTCATCTTGGCTTCTAATCCCCTTCTTCTCTACGCAAGAATCCACTCCACTTGTATCTTTCTTCTCTCAATAGATGAATGCAACTTTAGGAGTTTATGTTTTGAAAGTTTGTTTGAGTCATTTGTAAGCGTCAAAGGTTTGTAAGTCTTTATATTAAAGTAAAGTTATTTTTAGTTCAAGTGTCGCATTTTGTGTTCTTTGGTGTAGTTTCTATTATCCTAGGAAGAGTAGTCTTTTGTTAGCAAAAATTTGGGGCCCTTGCAAAAATAAACCGCCGATAAAAAGC